TGCCTTTTGGTGAGAAAAAGTTGAAAGTTTATTAGGTTAAAAACCTAAGAATGGTGGGAAGTCAGTGATTGAGAACCACTGGAATAAATTTAATTTCAATACTCGACTCGATCAAAGTTCCTTTTGTATGTAAATAAATAATGTTGATTTACAGAGAAAAATTATCGCCGAATAATAATAGTATTACTTTTAGAGAGGATCGATTATTTGCTAGTTTTTAAAGATGATTAATTTAAAAATAAGAATTTTATTTTTGAAAGACAAGAATGAAAATTTCGAATCCTATCTCGATTACATTTTAGAATTTTCTTTTGTACGAACGATGAATTTTACAATTAGGGAAACTCTTCCTGTAAATCTTTCTGTTTTAATTTATTCGTTATCGATATTGATGTCACTTGTTATTCCAGAAGATCGATCGAACTGGGGATCGAAATTTTGTTTTAAACAATGTTGATGTTTAGATAAGGATCGATTAGAGAAGGCTCATTCAGTTCTTTGAATACTATCGGCTGATACGCGACTGATCGATTGCAACGTGTAAAGCGACATTTAAAATGTCACGTTAAGAAAGACCAGCAGTTATGAATCACGGATTTACAAGCAACGTCACGATTGCAATTAAGTCGACGATGAAATATCGCGCAACACCGATCCTGACCTATGATTCGTGTCATCTTTCGATAACGCACACGCACTTTTTCTTAAAAAAAAAAAAAGAAAAAAAAAGTATTATCAACAACTATTATCTAAAATCAATAATATAAAAAGATATCATAGAAACGAGAAAGAAAGAGAGAGAAAAAAAGCAAAACCTAGAATGCACGAATTGGAGCAAACTACTCGAAAGCATGACAAATTCCGTAAGTACGCTTACTCTCTCGAGATAAGCGAACCAATTATAAAAATATTTACTCGTGTCTTAAATTTCTTAAACTTATTCTCTAGCTCGCTTTCTGTTACTTCTTTCGTATTTAAAAAGAAATCTACGAATAATAATAACAATAATAATAAATCAATAAAAAAACCGAGCAAATAAACAAACATTAATTCCTATATACCCTCCGTTTAATCCCGACTCAAACAAACCTCAGATTCTCGATTTTAATCCTGTTTACTTTATCGCGAAATAAATAAAGCTATAAAACTTTGGGACAAAAAATCCAGAAAGATAACCACCAGCGAGATTAAAAGGAAAAAAAAAAAAATGAAATAAAATCGAGAATAAGGGAAAAAAGCGTTATATAGAATGTGTCAACTCACCGAACGAGGCGAATTTGAACCTCTTGATCCTCGGCAGCGTGGCAGTAGTGCAGGCGCGCGTTAAAACTGGCATGTTGCTCTCTCTCTCCAACAAACTGTTTGGACGCGACGAGCTGGACGATGCTTCCAGTTCTGGGACAGCGGCTCGTTTGACGGCTCTTTCCTCGGTGCCAGTCACCTCTACGGCTAATGAACGCATCCTTCGTTCACTCGTGTAATCTCGTGACGCGTATGGTGGTGTGTCATTAAGTCGTGAGTCGGGCGGATCACATGTATATATATATATATATATATATAGATATATATATGTACACGTGTGTCCGTGTTATTAGCGGATTGCAAAATTTCCCGTGTCTCCGCCGTAACAGGTGGCCACGCGAACCAAATCGGGAACCGGTCGTTTCGAACCGATTTTATCACCGTTTTTTTTTTTCTTTTTTTTCTTTTCTCTCGATCCTTTTATCGATCGCGCATTGAAAATACGATGGGAATTTTAATTGAAGGGATTCTTTCTGAATACTTTCTCCGTATATACATGTACGATTGTTGGCGAGGATTCGTTCGTTATCGATTTTTGCCTCGTAAAGGGGATAGCTTAATTTAAGAAGCGAAGCTTTTGTTAAAGAATTTTCCAAAGAATTCCATAATTAAAACTTTCAACGATTTTGGAGGATACAACTTTCTTATAAATTTGTCTTGTCTGACGGGAATAGTTTTACGAACGTTACAACGTTTCGATTTTTCCAGTAAAAAGTAAAAAATTATTAAAGAGGATCGATCGTTTATGGCGGTGTTTCCCGCGTCTGCCGCCAGAGGGCCATCGTTCACGCAAGGTTCCCTCCCCTCCCACCATTGATTCCTTCGTACACGTATAACCGTTTCCTCGGTTATTGTTAGATCCAGTCGATATCTCGAAGTATCTTTGGACTTGTTGAACAAGTTTTAGATCTAACACTGAAAATTTCCACCCGATTTTGTTCCGACTAATTCTATTAATAAATCCATTAACACGTACGAGTATATACCTCCACCACATTTTTACTTTCTTCCCGCTCGCGAAAAACTCGCCTATTGCCCCCACTCCCTTTCCCCCTCCCTTCCCCAAATGCTTACATCGCGAAACGCAACGCGAGGAAAGAATTTGTTGACTCAATGTATGTCAAAGCAAGCTCAGAGCGAACGTTTGCGACTTGCTCGACTCGCAAATGCGCACGCTTCGGATCGAAACGAAAACGAAAGTTTCGCCACGGCGTATTTTCGGCGAGGGAACGACCTCGATGGTTCGACTCGATCTCGAGGTTTGAACCTTTATTGAAGCGACGACAGATGCACGAATCGATTGAAACAAGGCATAAGTTTTATTCATCGAAATCGTTTCCGCGATCTAAAATTAATCGTACAGGTGATCGCAAGGATAAATTATCAATCGATTATTCATCGCGTTCGTGGCTAAGTGTCAATTATGAAAGAATGGCAACGCGCAACCGTTTGGTGTTTGAGAAAACTCGAGTTGGAGAACGGAGCTCTGTTTTTCAAACACGCTCGTTCCCCCCGCCCCTTTGTTTTCTAAACATTGAACGTGCCACATCATTCGCTCGGGAACAAGAATTCGATTCCTTATTTTGCTTCGGGAATCCGCGAATATCTGCTCGACGCGTTTCTAATCGATGACACGTAAGGAAAACCACGGGGTATGAGGTAATATAAATACGAGAAATCGACGATTCGAACGTCGATTTTACCAACACAATAAGCGTTATAATGAATCTGCAAGATTTAATTGTAATCTTTAAAAATAAAATAAAATTCAACAAGGAGGAGTTATTCGCGTTCCCTTCTCAAGCAATCTCATTCTCAAAAATCATAATATCGTAAATTATTAAATCCGATAGAAACATATGATGCTATATAATTTCACAATTTCATTGTTTACAATGAATACCACTCACTCAAATTCTGAAATCATATTCTGAAATAAAACGTACTTCTCTTACTTAACTGATTTATAAATTACAAATTTTTTCGAAGTTATTCATAAATAAAACTTCACGCAGATCCATCGAAACGTCCGATATCGATATACAAATCTACTTTTTCACGAAATATTCCCTCGCTCGAAGATAAACGGGGCAAACTTCACCGATTTTCGTCGAAAATCCAATTTAACTAAATTTAATTTCCTTCTCTCTCTCTCTCTCTCTCTCTCTCTCTCCTCTCTCTCACGACACA